CGGCAGAAGCTCGTACTGCATCCGGTTCGCCCTCTATTGACACAGTCTGTAAACTTTCCGATCGCACCTCGTATTCTTAATTTGTATTCCTCGTGATAAATAACTTCTAATTGATTTTCTATTATACAAGATTCCCACACAGATTTAAATGGGTGTATTTCAGGTTTTATAATTTTGAGATATTAATGCTTCTAATGTTGTTGAACCTCATTCATATCTGGGTCTAACCTAACCTAATCTAAACTGGTTGTGTTCATGACTTCTTCTTGTACTCAATGCAGAAATCTAGATAACACTCAAAAATAGCCAACAACTTCTTTTTAAGTTTAATGATTTGGCTTAACATACCAGTTTGTGGGCTTGTGCTATAGAAATGGTGTCTTGTCGTTCTGAAATCTTTAGTTAACATAAGAACTGGTATAATTAGCATGATCTTAAACCAAACCGTGATAATTGTACGGACACACGAAACAAAGAATATGCTATCATCACGCGGTAATTGGATGGATTGAAACAGTTGCCGCCTATTGTCCGCAAGCTAATTGGTACGGAAGTAAATGGTGTACCCATTGTTTTAATTAGCAGTACAAGTCCGTTGGATATAACACAGAAACCTTTGTTATTTTTCTAGGAATTATCCATGCATAGAAACTGACAGATACACGATTTTAAAATGTATTCATATTTTCGGAAATATGCAACACTACGCTGCGAGTCAGGAAGAACATGGCGTAATAATTTTTTGGCCTGATTATAGTTTATATAGGCGAACACAACGATCCCAGCGCCGCTGCCAAGCCTGGAAGCATCCCTGGAAATCTTTCTTTGTCAGCCTGTCAAGCACCATCTGCGATTCTGCCTGAATCTCTTCTATCGTCTCAAATCTCCTTCCCTTTAGCTGAATTTTCATCTTTGGGAAGAGGAAGAAGTCACACGGAGCTTAGAAAGGAAGTTGGGGTCGGTTCTTGCAAGATCTTTGAGCTCCTGACAAACGAGAAGTCGATTCTGCTTCTGGTCCTCAGACAGGATGCGTCGCATGTGGAGGTCTTCCTTTAGAATCAGCTGACCGGTCCCATAGCCTATCCCAACAATGTCGCATTAGTCGTTGATGGTACGACGTCGATCTTCGTGAATGGCCTGCTGAATCTTCGTAACATTTTCGGGCGTTGTGCTCGAAGATGGTCGTCCAGAACGCTCGTCATCATCGACAGGGGTTCGGCCATTTTTAAAACGTGAATGCCACACAAAAGTTTGTGCACGACCCATTGCGGACTCCCCAAATGCTTGCTTTAGCATTTCATAGGTTTCCGTAGCCGTTTCGGCGAGTCTTTGGCAAGAGATTCAGGCCGAATCGCAGATGGTGCTTGACAGGCTGACAAAGAAAGATTTCCAGTGATGCTTCCAGGCTTGGCAGCGGCGCTGGGATCGTTGTGTTCACTCCCAGGGGAACTACTTCGAGGGTGATGGATGAATTTAATACCTGAGATAAGTGTACGGGTTTTTATAGGCGCAGTCTTGAAACTTTCCGATCGCACCTAGTATTTTATGTTATAAACTGTTATTAAACTGGAGATGCATAAGAATTAGATGAAATAAGTACTCGAAAATATTGATAGGGAAAACTGTTCAGAAGCGATCATTTGGGAAACTGACAACACGGAGAATAATATTGAAGTTAACGTATGAAAAACAGATTATGAAAGCATAAACAGAATTGTACCTTCTAGAATCATTCAATAGCGGTCTTCGATACTAATATTGTTGAAATTTGTGATTGTTTGCGGTGGTTAACGCATATACGTCTTATTAGGAAGGTCCCGTGTTCAATACTCGGTTGACTAGTCTGACTAAAGCAATTCGTGATTTTTACGCTGTCTTTAAGCGAATTCTGAGATAATGCTTAAAACAGACAGCGCCCGCCTACTTAAATAGATTTTAAAATTCGGTATTTACAGTCATTCTCCTCCACTGTTTTCTTCAGAATTTATGACATAAACTAGTCATGATTACGATAGTAAGTTGTGTTGGAAATACACAAATAAAAATTAATTTATTTTGTATTAGATTAGCAACAGTTTCTATTCCTAGTGAGTTCATAGTTTGCCAGAGGTTTTGTACATTAGGCAAGCATCTTTTTAGATGAGCTTTCCTCATCTAAAAATATGTAAATCTGCTTGTATCCAGTATTAATATTTCTATTTCAGTGTTTCTTTGCCTTCACAAAGACATTTGTTACTACTATGGTGCATTTAGAATGTGATATTTTAATTTGCAGAAGAAAACCTGTTGTCGTTAATAAGAATATCTAAATTAACGCAGAGCGGAAAATCAGTTAACTAGAAACAGAACAAAGCAAAATATCCCTCACATAGCAACTCGGCGCTTCATTATCGGGGGGCTGAGAAGGGAAATTTTGTGTCCACCAAACCGAATCAAAATATTTAAGATGCTTTTGAAGCGTCCGTTTTTATTTTTTGTTTTAGTCCCAGATATTACAAACATTCTTGACGCTGTTTGACAATGAGACAAAGTGAAACAATGCATGAAATTAAGTTTTCTCAAGTCCAAGATAACTTATTTATATTTCTGAAATGTAATTTCTATAGGTATTTTAATAGAAACTGTCTCTCTGTGTACCAAAGTTATCCAAACAAAAGTCAGTGTTTACGGTCTTGCACAGTTTAACGTCTCTTCATGAATCACCTTCAAGTGTTGCATAAGAAATCTGGAGATGGAAATGTATAAAGCAGTAAAGTAAAGTTTGTCCCACTATACACCATGTAGGCACTTGGGGGGAGAGGAGGTATAGCTCCTCTCTTCCTTGACCTCAGCACTAGATGGGGGTGAGTGGTCAGCATCACGCCCCGGCCGGCTTTACCCCCGGGAAAGGACCCCGGTACCCATTGTAGAGGAGGCTGGGTGGGCCCCAGAGCCGGTCTGGACGCAGAGGCTAGAGGAAAAATCCTCTGCCCCCATCGGGTATCACATTATTAAATTGAAATATATTAAATAATGACGTATATTGCCAGTGTCTGAGTGTTTTGGACGATATTATTTAGTATCCGAATAAAAGTGGTTATTTGCAGACTTACACAAATTTCATATAAATTTAGAAGCCACCTCCAAAATCTAGGAGATGATA